GCAGCCTCTCTCCTTCCCCCTCCCACGCTGCTGCCTCTATTAGAGGCAGCAGCATGCGGGGAGGGTGGCAGCACCAGCGACCTGGTGCTGGGGGGAACCAGCTTTTAAGAGGCAGCGCGGGGAGGGGGACAGGCAGCTCCGGTGCTCATGAGGAGCTGGTTTCAGACGGATCTGATGCTGCTTAAAGCCAGGTCCTCATGGGCACCAGCTCCCACTCCCCCTCCCCCTCAGGGGGGAAGTGTATGTTGTCGATAAGATTAACCGATAAACCAAGCCTTATCAGTTAATCATGTAGTGGACTAATCATTGACATCCCTAGTTTCCACATCCCCAGCCCATATATCAATCACAGATATTCCACACAGCAGGGTTATCTACCTAGCTCACATCTGACTCAGCTCACAATCTAGATTTGGGGCAAGAGGGGGTTCTCCCCACCAGGGATCAAGGAGGATAAAGCAGTTTGTAATTGCGGAGGTCTCTAGGTTTTGGAGGGGTGTGGAAGATTCATTTTCACACTTCTTTTAGTCAAGTTAATCTACTGCTTTGATTATTGCTCCCTTGCACTTCAGCAAGCTAACAATTGCGTGTGGCTGGCTGCAGAACACCACCCTCATGTCAAACCATATAAGCATTTAGTATTAAACCTGTGCACTGAGAGATGTTCTTCTATTGTGGAGCCTTATCTCCTTTTCTTAGCTTTAAGGCATGAGATGACTGCAGGTTTCTTTAACGTATAACTTTTTTTCAAGATTACAACAGAAAGCCAACCTTAAGGAAATTAAAATGTTAAACACACTGGTATTTTATTATAATTCCTCAAATACACGATAATCTGCCTTACCATTACATTCAGCCTTCAGGAAGAAACACTAAACAGATCTAATAAGGCCTCAGAGACTTTTCAGGTTAACATCATGTAAGTATTCTGTTCTGCCTGTATAGCAGAATAACAGAGCTAGAACACTGCTGTCATGTGAAACTGAGGCCAGCCTCCAACCGAGCAAATTACTCTTAGAAAGGCAGCAGCAGCTCAACAGCTGTGGCGAAGCTGCCTCCCATGACAAGATGCAGAAAAATTGCAAAGCCTGTTGGACCAACATAATTCAAATTGGAAACTTTTCTTTTCAAAAGACCAGATTTTTACACATGGTCCCTACATCCCTTTCCCTATCCCCCAGCCCGAGAATGAAATCCACCACATTATAAATGTATATGGAAAATACAAAGACATTTTTTAAAATGCCTTAACGAGCTGTATAATTCCGTGGTAAAGCTGGCTTGTTACAGGGCAGAAGGAAGTTGGTTGGGATGTGGGTTAACTTGTTTGTGCCATACTTTTTTTTTTTTTCTTCAAAAGAAATTAAAAGTAGTTTCTCCATCTGCCAACAGCAGCTCTGCAAGCACTATACCAGCCAGCTGACGCTATGCTGCTAGACTAAGCAAGAAGGGATTTTCTTTTTTGATTTGCAGCCAATAGCTCTCATTTTAAACAAATTATTCTTATATACAGATTTTTAACACCAGTTATTTCAGTGCTTGCTAGAGCAGTTATAATTAAAAACTGTCCAACACTACCATAAAGCTTTTTAAAGTGGCTTATATTTGAATGTGTCATAAAAATGCAACATTTGCTTACTTAGTGCTTGAGAACTGTGGTCTACAGGGTTAACTCTCACACTCCCAAGTGTTTGGGATTTCCCATTTTTCGTCTCCTTCCCCCCCCCCAAACCAATTCTCCAATCTACAAACAGTCATCTTTTTGCATTACTAATGTAATTACAATGGGCTTTGACTGCAACATGGTACTGGGGTAACTTGAAAGGCCTAAATTCCAGTGAGGTACTTACGCTGTATTTGTCACAATTGTGTCAAAGCACATTACAGCTTGTGAGAGGATCAGATGCTCTGCCCTCATCTCCCGTTCAGTAAGATGTTTTATTACTATCAAGCCTTCATCAAACAACAATAGCAGGCGTTTACACTTCTATCTGATGGCAGGGAGACTGGTGGCCATTCTAATCTCTTCCGGAAATAAGTTCTACAGACATGGGTGAGCCACCAAGAAAACTTCGTCTCTTGTGTTCAAGTGTCTTACTCTTCAGGATGACTATTCCCCCACACAAAATATCATTGCTACTAGAAGCAGTCAGGATTGCCGCGCGGGAGACAGCATTCTAATAGCTTGGGTCTATCCCATGGAAGGCTTTGATGAGAATGCCTTTTCCTTGGACTCTGCATTCAACAGCAAGACAGTGTACAGAGCAGCAGTGTGGAAAAACATGCACCTAGGGACTTGTGGCATTCAAGTGGCCTATTGCTTCACTTGAACCAAAATAAGCATAAGGCAGCCAGTGGTGCTGTTTGTGAGATTTAACCCAGGAAGAAAACAGACTCATGGCTGAAATGCAGCCCTTAACTAACATCCCAGTGCCTGTATATTCCAGAACACAAACTGTGAGTGATCTGCTTCACCATGAGGTAATAACTGAGCACCTGTGGGAGTTAGGCTAGAGCTCTTTGCTTGTGTACACAGTTGGACTTAATGTTTAGCTAGTGTTTTGTGGTTTAATAGAATAGGTTTAACAGTCTACACTTACCTCATTCAAGAGAGCAACCAGAGAGGAGTACAGTGTATTTCCCAGTGACATACCACTACTGTCAGTGTCGGTTTCAGGAAGCATTGGAGACCACTATTATGAATTTCCTCTCCAGTGACTCTCAAGAATCATCTCCTTTAGCTCAAATAATATAAGTCTTCCACTATGGAAAGAGGCTTAAATATCATTTTCTATGACAGACCAACGAGAGAAGCTAACATAGATCTCTGGACTTTTAATCCTGGCTCCAAAAGAATGATGCACAAAAAGTAGTAAATGTATTAACACAATCAACTACTCAGTGTCTGAGCAAGGCCCTTTTTTTCCTCTACCTCCAAAGAAAACCTAATTCAATATGAAACACACTGTCACGTTAGGAGCAAAACTTCAGTCAAGGCACTATGAAATAACTGTCCTCAACTTCACCAGCAGTAAGGTAACCTTGCCTAAAGGAGGCCCTTGAAATAACAAGAGTCCTTCCATTAAATGAATCACTGATTTAAAAAAATGGTCCCATGTGATAGCAATGAACCTCAACCCAAGCTATACACCAACAAGTCTGCAAAAGGTTGTCATTAATACAAAACAGTGATTTTCAACCTGTGATCTGTACATGCCTCAGGAACTGCAGACTATTCCCAAAGGGGCCTGCACCTCCATTCAAAAAAAAAAAAAAAAATTGTAGGAGTCCACAAATGAGAAAAGTTTGCGCAAAAGCAGGAACATTAGAAGGAACTGTGCATAGTACTTTTGGACCAACTTTCCAAATTAGCTCATGCAGCAAATTGAAAATGGACAGCATATTTGTTCAGGAAAGATTACGTTAAATCGGTGGAAAATCCATAAATCCTCTGTAGCCACAGACCAAGGGTTTACAATTACACTAACTGGTGGTCCTCAAACCTGGGTTCAGCTGGTGTCTTTGGGCTAGAAACAAGTGTTCCCAATTTCATCACAAGTTCAGAGACATGAAGTAGCACTTTGCAGTGTTAAAAACAGATTTATTCACACTATGTACATACCTTAGGATTTATTTTAATATATCCTAACACAAATCAAAGTGACATTTCTTATGCAGTACAACTACTACGTTCATACACATTAATTTATGGTCTACAGAGAATTATAAATTACACTTACTGGAGATGGAATGAAGGCTTCATGGTATTTTTTAGGATTTATTCTCAGGGCTCCCTTAAAAAAAAAAAGAATCAAGATTATGTCTGGAACATTAGTTGTATGTATTATTAGTTAAACTGGATGTCTATGGATAATATATTTACTTTGAAACGAGAGATACAGCTGAATTTCCACTGCAAAGCTTAAATGTTGACATTAGTACCTGCCTGTTTGAACCATTTCAATCGACAGCTAAGTAATACTGTCCACCCAGACACAACTCCTTCCTCTATGCGCCACCTCCCTAACAGCTAGAGGCCAGGGGGTTCAGATGTGATTCTGTAAAACAATACACCACAAACCAGAGTACTCCAAAAATGGTTTTAATATAGATGCAGAAAATATTACTCATTCCAATAGGAGATACGCTAGTGTGCCACGTTTTCCCATTTGCTGTTATACATCCCACCATTCCACCAAATAAATGGTGGTTCAACAAATTCCTTCTGAAATCCTTTGCTGCTGCTGTTCTTTAGGCAGCCAAGAAACTGGGTGTGCTCTCTTCCTTAGCACCCACCTCCTTCTCAAAGGTCACAACACTTGTTCAGAAAGAACAAACAAACATCACAGAACCTCCCCTGGTTTTGAAACACTTGTTCAGAAAGAACAAACAAACATCACAGAACATCCCCTGGTTTTGATGATGATGATGTTTTGTGCCCTGTTTTTGTGGGGGTCAGGTTGATTTTGCTTTAAAAAGTTATTTAGTATATTTTGTGGAGACAGTTGTGAGGAACGATTGGGCAAGGAGACAAGTTTCGTCCAACACTGGGTCAGGTTAGAATCTTACGGGGCTTCAACTACACTTTTGGATTGTCCACTACCATGGACAGTAATAACTCTGTAGTAAGAAAAATGTAAAGGGTGAACTGAAAGAATTTTCCAAAAATAAGCATTTGCGAGCCAACATCAATAACAGGTATAGGTATCGTTATTAACAAATAATGTTTACATCAGAGAGGACATTCAGTTTCTGCTTCCTCATATTACAGCGTGAAGAGACAAAAGGGACATTTGAACAGTGGCTGTTTCGGAACGCTGACATTTCAATTCTAAGGGCATCCTGGGAATTGTAGTTTAGATGACTAATTAAAACATTTACTAGATTTTACTCTTATAAAATGAGACAATACTAACTACAGTTGCATTAATAAAGTACTTTGCTTTTGATGTGAAACTTTAAAGCCTTTTTCATCAATGTATTTGGAATGTCTTCAGTTACTAACATGAAATTTATACCATCTGTGTTTAGCAATCATAGGCATCTTTCATTGGAACTGCTTCCTTATAAATTTGATGCAGCATATTATTTTTAATGTATTCTAGGAAGGGATCTGAATATAGGGAAATAATCTCTTCACACCTAAAAGCACTGCAGGCTTGAGGAGAAATTTGCTTTGTTTGTTTGAAATCACCAAGAGCATGAGGACCAAGGTATTCCTTGTTAGTCTGAATCTGCAAAAGCGGCGAGGAGTCCTGTGGCACCTTATAGACTAACTGAAGTGTTGGAGCATAAGCTTTCGTAGGCAAAGACCCACTTCGTCAGATGCATGTACATGCATCTGACGAAGTGGGTCTTTGCCTACGAAAGCTTATGCTCCAACACTTCAGTTAGTCTATAAGGTGCCACAGGACTCCTCGCTGCTCAAGGTATTCCTTGTTCTTCAGATCTTATTTGTGCACTTTGTGGCAAACGATCTTATTTTAGGTCTTATTTTACAGTACTGTCAATATTGAGATTACTCACATCACATGCACAAAGCAGGGCAGTGGCAAGAAAACAAAGTCCTATAAGCATGGAAAATACCCTTGGGAAGCAAGGGATTCTTCAAGCACAGACAAAATGAGATCTATTGCACTGTGTTTAGCCTCCATTAGGAATTATGGCACCCCTTTAAAGGACAGAAAAGGTCTTCCTTCCAGAGAGACAGTCAGTCATCAAATCATCCAGCTTCTAGTTGGAGACTGAAGGCAGTTACTGGTACTCACAAGAGGGAGAACAGCTTTTACAATGTGTCAGTCAATTCCAGGTCCCGGCATCTCACCAGCAATGTAGAAGCAAACCAGAAAGCCTCCTGTGTCACTCAAAATCAATCCCTTTGGATAATTAGGGCCAGACTGTCAGAGCCATGCACAAATGTCCAATGTGCACGTGAAAAATCAGGTTTTGTATACATAGCAAATTAGGTGCCTCACTAGCTGTGTGCACAAATACCTAATTTGTGAAAGCATACTGAGCAGCAAAATGTTACCTCCTTTAAAATATAAAAGCTCAACATATGTTATGTAGTTATGACAAGCATCAGAACTCTTATGTCAGTAGTATTAAAATACTTTTCCTCTAGCTCTTTCCTTTAAGCAAGGAACTCCCAAAGTTTATCTTATAAAGCAGATGGCCCCTATTATCTGTGCCTATGAAAATCCTATTTACAATGTTGTGCATTTCACGCTGTGATATCATATCTGGAACCAGTCACTCTCCCCATCTGCAACGAACAACTGTTCTCATATGTGTATTAGGGGCTGAAGTTCTGGCTGAACAGTCTCATGATGTCACACTCAGGCAGTATTATTTTACAGTAACTTGCAAACAATGGCTGCTATATTTATCAATGTTTTCATGTCAGCAAAGCCAGCGTTTTGGGAGGACCAGATTGCAGCACGGATTTTAAAACATCTCTTGATAGTTCAGGTTGACCTCACTTCACCAAAGAAGTCCTTAAACGTACTAATTTTCCTAAGAGGTTAGGAAACTCTGGATTTCCCAACTTTTTCACTTCTTCCAGTGAAGCAGGGCAACAGAAAGATATGTAGACAAAACTTCAAGAATTCCAAATCAAACGTTATATGTAGGACATCCTAACATGCAGGCACAGATCAGTGTTTGCGGAAAGCAAAGAAAGGCACTGTCCAAATATCTATACATTGCGAAGGGCTGCTTAAAAAAAAACCTCCCTGAAAACCATATAAGGGAACCCTAGTTCCATACTAGTAAAGAAACTGCTTGCAAAAGGAAAGGTATTTAGAGCTCTATAAATCACTCTGCTTACTAAAATGGACCCCATCACCTGCCCTCAGAGATCTTGTTTACTCTGCACTTACAGTCTCCTCACCTTGACCTGGAATGATGGCTAATGCATGGCAGGCTGATGGAAGGTCTTTCAGGTCATGCTACTTAACATACAGTGTGGCTCTGACAAAACAGATATCTATAGCCTTTCCATGGAAAAGGTATCCAATCTTGTTTAACTTGAGACCTGTGTGGATGATTCCAGAAAGCCTGCCTTGGGTCCATTTGCTCTTGCCAAGTAGTCTGCTACTCATGGAGATTGGAGATTGGGAAGGGGAAAATGATCCCAGATGTCCAATCTTGTGGCCAGATTAATTTAAGTGCGTCCTATGATCAGGTGAAATTCTGGGAATTTTGGAGGGCACTGCTCACCACACTATTAATTGAACCACATCTAGAATCAGGAGTCTCTGAAACATCTAATCCTGAGTGACTTCAGCGACCACGAACAGAAATGAACATAAGAACGGCCATACTAGGTCAGACCAAAAGTCCATCTAGCTCAGTATCCTGTCTGCCAACAGTCACCAATGCCAGATGCCCTAGAGGGACGGAACACAACAGGTAATCATCACATGAGCCATCTCTTGTCACCCATTTACAAACAGTCTAGAAACACCATTCCTACCATCCTGGCTAATAACTACTGATGAACCTAACATCCATGAATCTATCTAGTTCTTTTTCTAACCCTGTTAAAGTCCTACTCTTCACCACATCCTCTGGCAAGGAGTTCCACAGGTTGACTGTGTGATGAGTGAAGAAAAACTTCCTTTTGTTTGTTTTAAACCTTAAATGCTTCTACATTTTAATGATTTGGAATTGTTCAGCCTCTACGGAAGGCACAGGATTATCTCTGTTGGGTCTCCAATTCAAGCCAGTGGACACACTAGCCAGGATCTTCTAGAATATCTTGTTAAATTACACTGCCAGTCATCCTCAGACTTGTGCTCAGGGTCTTTCCTTGCTCCTGTTAAGATGACAAACATACTTGTTATATTCTATCCTCAGACATTCATGGACCCAATGAGATTCCAGAATATTCTGGGAGAATCTACTATTCATCCACACATTCACATTGCTGGTGGAAAAAAATCACTTGGCCACAGCTGTTGACACTGGTACCTGGATGTCTTCTTCCTAAGCACTGTAGTCACAGGTTATCATTGTGTGTTCTCTCAGGTTATCATAGTGTTGGGATGTCTTGTTTGTAGGGACTGATGGAGTAGCTCTTCAATATGTTCTGTCCTTCCTCAAAGGTCTCAGAGCAGTGCTGAATATCTGTTCATCTAACAAGGCTTCCATTTACAAAGTCTCAGAGGGTTTTATCCCTTCACCCTTTCTGTTCAGTGTGCATTTGAAGCTACAGGATAGGATTCTTGGTGAGAAAGATTTTGGGGTTACTATGTCTGTGATCACATACTCAGCTCTGCAGCCATCGAATCCAGGTTCTATGGTTTCAGTAGTTTTCCTCAGACAGAGAATTGGATGATAGGCACAACCCTAATAAGTCACACATGAAACTTCCTGTCCGAGAGAAACCTATGAATTGGACCGGAAGTTTCGTTATTTATAGAGAGCAGAGGCTTCTTTTGCTAGACTAATACAGTCGGAGGTCCTCTGAGAGACATCACCTCACTCAAATTCTCAGTACCAGCAGCAGCCTGATAGTGCCCTGGGCCCTCTGAGGAATATCTCTGAGGAAGATCCATGACTGGTGTCTCTATCTACCACTGCTTGACTGTGTTACAGAAACACGTTCTAAGGAATAGTCTTGAAGGCCACTCAGAAGCTCTGGTTGTTTCATTACACTGCTACAGCCTCTGGACTGTGGAGGACTTTTCTGATACAAGCACATAACAGGGGGCTCCAATTCCTTCACTGGGTATTTGCTTCCAGGTGTGGAAGTCTGTGATGATTGGTCTGGGAACCATTATGAGGCCGCAATTGAAATCAGGCATGATGCTTTATATAATCTTTTTACAAGAGCTCGAGTTGATCTGAAGTTGGGCTTCAAAGAGCAACTCTCTTACAACGTTAATCGTGGCATCCTGATCATCGACTGCAAAAATGTTTCAATTAGAGCTGGATGAAAATATTTGTAATAAGTTTGACAAAATGGTTTGAAACCTCCAAAATGTGTGAAACTGATTTAAAAAATGTGAGGCCACTGCCAGCCCTCATAAGGAGGTGTAGGAAGCACCACCCAGCCCCGCCCCAAGCTCTGTTCTGCATGGCCTTGGCTCCCAGCCCCAGCCTCAGCATGGCTCTGTACCTGTTTGGGGACCCAAACGCTGATACTGGAGGGGGAGCAGAGGCCTGCAAGACCCCTCCCACCCCCAACCTCAACTCTTGCTCCATCCCCAGCCTTACTCCCAACCCCTCCCACCCCCAACCTCAACTCTTGCTCCATCCCCAGCCTTACTCCCAACCCCTCCCACCCCCAACTTCAACTCTTGCTCCATCCCCAGCCTTACTCCCAACCCCTCCCACCCCCAACCTCAACTCTTGCTCCATCCCCAGCCTTACTCCCAACCCCTCCCACCCCCAACTTCAACTCTTGCTCTATCCCCAGCATTACTCCCAACCCCTCCCACCCCCAACCTCAACTCTTGTTCCATCCCCCGGCCTTGCTTCCAGCCCCAAATCAATCCCCAGCTGTGGCACCAGCCTCAGCTGCCTACTCTTGCTCCATGCCCCCTCACCCCTGCCCCAAGCCACAGGCCTGCTCCTGGCTCTGCAGGGGGCAGGAGCACACACAGAGGTATGGATGGGATGAGACCCTCAAAAAGCCTGGGGACCCCCACTACCTTACAGTGAACGTCTGTGAAGGCAACATCACAAAGGAGAATCAAAGACATTGCATCACCCTCTGCTCTCTTCGTTAACTATTTCAGTTATCTTATACACTCTGCAATGAGGCAGGGGTACTACTCAGCACATACTGAGTCACCTTCCACAGCAAACACATGCATAATATGAACAACTGAGGCACAGAAAGGGGAAAACTGCCTCTGAGAAACTAGATCACCACCAAACAAGACATAAATGCATTGTACTGAAAACTCCCAATATATTATGTGAACATCTATGATTTTTACAGGCTTATCTATATCACAAGAGCAACATCGTGTGATGTTCTAGGCACCTGGATAAGCTCTCCCCTTTTCAATCCTGCTGCAACATCTTCCCTTGACATGTAGGCTTCAAATACATTCTTCTTCCTCCCTCTCATGGGTTTACTCCGATTCTTCCTATCCCCTGGTGTCGAAGCAGCAGCATGGGGCTCTCCTGCAAATACAAATCCGCAAACGTTACCTTTCTAGCCCAAGTCTGGATGTGTGTTTTAACAGCAGTCACCACAAAGCTTTGTACTCAAGGTTGAATCTTTGAGGGCCTCTTGCCTGGAATACCAACCCACTGCAACAAAATAACACAAGACTGGAGGGACCATCTCTTACAAATAATCAACAGCCTTTCACAGTTCCACTTTCACCCCGACCCCTCCTTTATCAGTGCCTCAGCCTGCATTTCAGAGCAGCTTATTTCTGAAGTGTATGCCCACTTTGTTTTAATACCTCTGGGAGGTCCCAGTTTTTTAGGGTTTATTCGACAGTCTGAATTGTTCATTGTTTCTGCCTGTGATTCAGAGAGTTGCCTCTTCCTATCGAAGTTCTGGGGAACTCTGGTTGATTCTGAGTTGTTTCTGGTTCTTGCAAAACTTCTCTTGTCTCCACCTAGAATCAAACACAGGTTTGTAATACAAGAAAAAAAAATGACCCACTTTGGTTGTGCTCATGTTCTCAGAGAATCAAAGTTAAATGTCGCACCCTATGTGCTATGTTCACTCCCCCAAAGAAAAGCCATTTTGACTAGGCCTTTCTTTCAGAGTTAACTTGCAATACAATCTGGGCCCTTCATAACTCTTCATTCCGCCATTAACTTATTTTACAACAAACTAAACGCTGAACATTCCTAAACAGAAGCTTGGATAAAGTATTTCCATAATCCCGTGAGATTTTTTTAGAATGTGCAAAAGGTGAAATAGTTCAAAACTTTTCAAAGTTGAACTTCCCAATCTCTCCCCTCCCCTCCGCCCATCAAACTCCCAGGTAGTGATGAAATTTAAATTCACTCAGAAGTCCATTACAAATATAAGAAGGGCAGAAGTGCAAAAGAAAACTAAAACTCTTTGAGATAACTAAGTAACTACCCAAGGAAATGTGCTGAGGACTCAATACAATTACATATGTTGACAATGCAAAATACATCCAGTTTGCTAAGAAAAGGCCATAATCATAAGGTGCCATTCGAGAAAGACTCACACTTTCCTTTCCTGTTGTCATCTCAGACCATCCTGACAGCCAGGAGAGCAAGCAAAAGCCTCCAAAACTTATGCCAATACTGTTTCATGGATCAGCAGATTGGAATGTGAGACAATGCAGCTGCCCCCCTTTGCCCTCCGCCTGGATATTGAACATGTCATCACAGCTCTCCCTTCCAGACCCTACTGGCTACAGGCCCAGGAACCAAGCCTGTACCTGCAAGTCTGAAAATGTATGGCGGCCAACTTATTTTGTTCACAGACTAGCCACGGTACAGTACAATTATAGTGTGTATAGTATGTCTAATAAACAAAACCCTCAAATGCTGGTAACTGAACAGCATAAGAAATAGAATAAGAATTATAGGCAAGGCAGAACTTTGTTCAGCAGTGATTTGAATGAAATGCTGAGCTACAGAGAGGCTGTTCCTCTGAACATCAAAAGTGACCACGCTGTGAGGAGCAAGGCCTGCTAGTTGAGCCGAGAAGAAAGAAAGTCAAACAACCTCTGAGGCTGGCTCAGGCAAGTCTATGGAGAGTTTAAGTACATCATCTAATCATGAGTGAGAGTCCCAAAGTGAACAGGGAACCTGTGGAGTAACAAAAATGAGAACAAAAAATGATTAAAGATCCAGAAAGTTTGACCTATAAAGAAGGATTGAAAAAATTGGGCTTGTTTAGTCTGGAGAAGAGACGACAGAAGAGGAACTCGATAACAGTTTATAAGGATATAAAAGATTGTTAAAAGGAGGAGGGTGAAAAATTGTTCTCCTTAATCTCTGAGGATAGGACAAGAACAATGGTCTTAAATTGCAGCAAGGTCACTGTAGTGAACATAAGAGAAACATTTCTGACAGTCGGGACGATTAAGCACTGGAATAAATTGCCTAGGGAGATTGTAGAATGTAGAATCTTCGTCACTGGAGATTTTTATGAACAGGTTAGACAAATATCTGTCTCAGATGGTCGAGTCAGGAATACGGATGTTAAAAATATAAAACATCATTAACCACGTAACTGATACAATTTCGATCAGTTACACAGTTAACTGGGCAGCCGCAGCTCCCAGTCCCATAGTGCTGCCAGGGCTGCCATGGCTTCCAGGCCTTTAGGGCTCCCAGTCGCGCTGAAAGAAGTCCCAAGCTTGCTTTGCCAGAAGAGGGACAGAGAGTAGAAAGGGATGAGTTAGCACAGATGTCTGGACACACAGATTAATACCAGCAAAGCATCATTATTTGAGGTGAAAGGCAGAGAGGAAGTAAACAGACGGCGTCAATCAAGAACTGAATTGCAAAAGACTCCATAAGAGAGATCTCTAGGTGCAAACAGTGAGCGGAACCATAACTCAGGGAGCCAGAGACACCTCCAGAGCCAAGAGAGTGATTCCCAGGGGATGGAAAGGTAAGTCCTGCAGGACAAGCCAAGACAGAAAAATCTGAGTGTGAAGAAGGTGGTTGATTACACAAACAGCAATTTCCAGGATACAGACAGAAACCCTTGTTCTCTCTAATTTTTCCCGCCCAATACGACAGTGATGTATCATGTGCCAACAGGTTGAGTGTGGGAGGGGGCTTAGACTTGGGGCGGAGGGTTGAGGGGCAGGAGTATAAGGGTTCTGGCTAGGGGTGTGGGCTCTGGGGTGGGGCTGGGGTTGAGGCGCTCAGGCCAAAAACAGATGATTGGAGTGCAGGGGTGTGAGGGCTCTGGGATGGTTCTAGGGATGAAGGGCTCAGGCATGGGATAGAGGGTTAATACAGAAAAACTCTGGTGGAGGTGTGAGCTCTGGGGTAGGCTGGGGCAGGGAGTGGGGTGGGTGGGTTTGAGGCAGGGGGCTCCAGGACTGGCCCAGGGTGGGGGGCTCTGAATCCTGGCCACTCTGGCCACGGCGGGGGGGTGGTCTTGGCTGCTCCAGCCAAAGCAGGAGGGCTCTGGGGCCAGGCTACCTGGTGGCAGTTGCGTTCAGGCCAGGGGAAAGGTGCCGACCTAGAGAACGTAGCCAGAAACCTATATAGAAATCTGTCCTGGATAATATGAGGGAAACAAAGGGGTAACTTTCTGAAGCACTTTGCTGTTTGGCTTTTCCTAACAGTTTCAAAGGCAGGTTTCAAGTATCAGAGGGGTAGCCGTGTTAGTCTGAATCTGCAAAAGCGACGAGGAGTCCTATGGCACCTTATAGACTAACTGAAGTGTAGTAGCATAAGCTTTCGTGGGCAAAGACCCACTTCGTCAGATACATGCATCTGACGAAGTGGGTCTTTGCCCACGAAAGCTTATGCTCCTACACTTCAGTTAGTCTATAAGGTGCCACAGGACTCCTCGTCGCAAAGGCAGGTTTATTTTTTACAGGTGTTTATGAAATGAATGATCACAATGGTATATTTTAGAAAGTAGAAGAATTATGGACAACTGGAGGAAATATAGAGTGTAAGGGTATTAATAAAAGACCAGATGCTACAACAGGCAAGGGAATTACAAGAAGAAGGGACTAGATGGCTATAAAAAATGTGCCAGGAACTGGAGAATGAATAGGGGAGCTATTGGGAAGTCACAGTATTGCTATGAGTTAAGGAACCTTGAATAAAAGGGAACCAAAATCTTCACACTACACCAAGGAAAACCTGGGAGGGAAGAGAACGGAGGGTGTCGGAAAAGTGATAAGGAGTTTTGGAAATGAGCACCGGGCTACTTAGTCCCTTGAGTACTGCACGAATGGTCTTCACTAGCACACCTAGCTATCTAAATAGATTTATATTAGAATTAGACATTGCAGGCCAGGTGTGCATGACCACCGCCACAGGTACCAATGGATTACCGGTAGTGTGGTTCACCATCCTTTGCCAACATAGCTAAAATCAGCAATGCACAGGAACGTGAAAGGCAACCTCCCAGAGCCAAAGGGTGGCAAGTAGTCACTCCCAGGTAACAGAAACTTTAAAAACTTAAATATAGTGGTCTACTCTCCTGTGGTCCTTAGCATTCATTGGACTCAGATAAGCATATGGAACATTATGATGAAACGGACCACTTGAACGACATGATATATCATTCAGCATAGCTGGCAAACAAGCTACTTCTCATAACCATTTTCTGAAAGCATTTTGTAAAGGTGACACAAGCCATAAAACGTAGTTTTAAAATAAGAGATGCCTGTTTCAATCTACCTGATTGGAATGGATCAAATTATATATCAATGTTTTGCTTAGGGTGTGAAAGGTTAACCGATTAAATGGTTACCACTGCAGGCTGAAGAAGCTCCCCGCCTACCGCAGGCCCACAGGGGACTCACAGGGAGCCCACCAAATAGAGGGGCTGCTCTCATCCGGCAACAGAATTCACACTTTCACCTGCCACGACAAAACTTTGTCTTTCACCAGGGTAAGGGGGCTTTAAGCACCTGTGCACAACAAAAGTTTTGTTGATCAAGTGCAAGTGCAGACATACCCTAGATTTTTTTATTGTAGCCAATTAAAACCACAAGAGCTATTCAGAGGCAAAATAAAATTATTTAAATTGGAATTTAGCCAAGCCATTGGCTGCCACCCTTAGCTTCTAAAAAGTGCGATATCACTGTTAATTCATACAAAAAGCTATCAGGACCCTAAATTTAAGATTCCTGGAAAAGAGGGCCTCTATAGCAACCTGGTGCCCTTTAACAACTTGCTAGACTAACTCACCACTAACTCCAAAGGACAGCATAACCTACTAAATCACCAACAGCATACGTGTGAGACCTCCCATCTAAGAACCAACACAATCCTGCTTCACTTGTTGGATCTGACCAGATCACACTATAAGGTCATCTGGCTAGAGGACCCCTTCTTTCCTTTTTAGGGCCTATCAACTAAAATCACCACCATTATTTGAACTTTCAGCTTTGTTTACCTTGCAGTTATTTACATTTTTAACCCAAATCCTCTAGAATCATCTGAGACCATCATAACAACTCTGCATGGTAAAACTCCCAAGGAATTCACCCCCATTGTCTATTATCTCAACATTTCAAATTTTTAAACAATTTGATGTGGAAACACTTGAAAGGAACAATGCGCTCTATTGTTCAATAACTTTTCCAACAGAATTCCTCCACTTACTACTTAGCAATATTGGCCCATGAGTAAGTCTGAACCCTCTCTCGCAGCAAGTCTACACTTAAAATGTGGCACTGATGCACCTGCACCACAGTAGCTCTTTAAGGAAGATGCTATAAACCAGTGGTGGGCAACCTGCGGCCCACAGTTGCAGGCAGCCCACAAGACATTTTGCAATGTACAGAGTTGCTCGAGTCCTCTGGGTTCCGTCCGTGTTGTTTCTTTCCTACCGATATTACTAAAATGATGTGCATGTAAAGCAAGGGCACATTAAGTGAGGTGCGGGCTGACTGTACACAACATTGACTGAGAGCGCTGCCTCTGC